AAAATACCATCAAACATTATGCAGCACAAAATAGAAACTAGCTCATATAGCATAAAGTAATAGTCAAACCATAAAATAACAATCAATCCCACGTACCGTAAAATAACAACCAAGCCAATGTACCATAATATAACAAGAATTAACCACATGTACCATAACGTAACAATAAAACCCATATACCACATAATAACGTACCGTAAAATAACAACCAAGCCAATGTGCCATAATATAACAAGAATTAACCTCATGTACCATAACGTAACAATAAAACCCACATACCACAAAATAACAAACAACTCCATGTGCGACAGTAGTTACCCAGAGGACCGCGCAACATCTTTTATTCTTTATTATAAAAACTTAGGTAACTGTAACTTAAGGAGAACCGTGTGATAATGTGTTATGACTTTAACTTATTCCTGCTACTACAGTGAACTATACCCAATGTTCGTAAATCTTATGACAACAGAAGTATAACAAGGATTATACACTTACTTCTATGAAAGTTAATTTAATCTTGGTAATTATTTGTAATTATCAGAGGTTATTATGCTGTTATCTTGTTAGAGGAAACTGTCCTCAGATAAAATTGAAGAACACTGTCCAAATTGTAAGATGGACGATACTGATAACACCTTCAAGAAGTTAGACTATGTACATATCTTTGTGTGTTATATTTGTAAAATTATATTTAAGGGACAAATACGCGAGTTCTAGATCAAAAACAGGAAGTAGTAACTTAGAAGTATAAAATAATTTCCTATTGAACCATCAAATATTGAGAATTTCTGTAATATAATGTAAAGTGTAAGAATATATAAACTTGTTTTGCTGACTGTTAAGTTCAGTTACATACAAAATCCGTTCTCGTTGTCAGAGTTAATGTATAGTGGACATACAATTTGTTTTGCTTGCAAAGTTTATTTTGTAATGATAGACAGTAAACATGATGTATTTATAAAATGTGAAATAAAAGATATACATTTTCTTTTATCCTAAGAAGCTTGAAACATATGTAAATAGAATTTCTGGTTTGTCTGTCCGTTTTGTAGAAACGAACCCAATACTTGTTTCTCACAAGTAGTGGTCATGTGACTAATGAACAAAGCTGAAAGCATTGGTCACAGTGTTTTACTGTTAAGCGTCCCGTACAATTCATTATGGTGACAGTCCTATTTATTTTGTCTCTATTTATTTGTTTAATTTACGCAGTCATATGATTAAACATTCAAAATATTCCCCAGTGTCTGAATGTGTGATACTTTACAAGTATATTTACAAGTACATATATTGCAGATAGAACATGGTGAAACACATCATGGGAATGGTAATGTGAGGGTCAAGATCTAATTTTCAGCACGACGGGGACAGTCAATTTATTTACGAATTTCAAGTGCATGATATATTTTGTATAGTTTCTAAAATAAATAAACTTTGATTACTTTGGAGAATGCCCCTTATGTTTCATTTACGGTGATTTATTTTATTTGACCAATAACATACTTGAACAAGTATATATCACAGGTATTACTACATTATTGAACTGTAAGTCAGTATTTTATAATATTAGTGTATTGTGAAGTTTTGATAACAAATTTTTCAGTATGCTTGTTAAATAATTGATTTATAACTTGAGGTTCTTTTACGATTACGATTGTCAACTCCTTTTCGGTATTGATCATTAGTGAACAATGTGTTTGATGCTTTTTAAAGTAATAAGTTTAAATAGTATAGTGTACACGAAGTTAAGTTTTTGTATTGATTTGTAGGTGAAAAAGATAATAAATGTTACAGTAACACTGTTTTGACCAGTTACGTCAGTTTTGAAAAAAATTACATTTTCTGAGTCTCTGGGGAGTTTTATAGACAAATCAAAGGTATAGCGATGGGGAGCAGAGTAGCAGTAGTCCTTCCGAGTCTCTGGGGAGTTTTATAAACAAATGAAAGGTATAGCGATGGGGAGCAGAGTAGCAGTAGTCCTCCCTGTAATTTTTATGCATATCCTTGAACAGAAAACACTTAGATCTTGGGAATCATCAAGCCATCAATTTGGTATAGATTTATTTATTTATTTATAGATTTATTTATTGATATCTTTGGGGTGTGGAACTCGACTTTAGAATCCCTTATCAGTTTACATGAATTCCTAAATACTGCTCATCCTTTTATAAAATTTACTCTTGCGTATTCAACACCGGGTAGAAGTTTATCATTTCTAGATATGAACATTCACATTAAGGATGGGAAAATTACCACTAGTATTTTCACCAAACCATCTACGAAAGATCTTTGCCTTCATTTTTACTCAAATCATCCCCTGCAATTAAAAGAGGTGTAGTTATTGGTTTTCTACATAGGATTGATAAGTTATG